ATGGTCTCACGAGGCTAAAGAACCTTATCTTTGACTTAAACCTAAATCCGACAGGAGTGTGAATACTGTTTGTCCAACTCTTACTTTTAGATTAGATTATATTAGATTAGACTAGATGAGCGTTATGGATGTGATGGATAAACGGAGAAATTCACTGGTCACATATTGGCACAGTAATTAAAGAAGGTGCAAACAAAGGAGGAAAAAGAATAAACAATATATATACAGTATACAGTATTAGGGATGCACGATATAATCCGCCCCCTATCGGTATCGGCCTGTATCGGCCTTAAAACTGAATATCGGACATCGGCCACCCCACCGATATTTAACCCGACATTTGATCAGCTTCTAAAGTCTAAAAAAAAAAAAAATACTACTTCTTCTTCTTCCACAAAAACGTCTTTTTTACAGACTTAAAAACTTCTCAAGACGAGGGGGAAAAAATTTATACATTAAAATATCCCAATATCTTCATATGCTGATATATTGCCATTTAAAAACACCATATCAATCTCTTTACTAATGAAAATTGCTATATGTCATCGATATGCTACGAAATCCCCCGAAAATTCACGAAATTTTGCCCTATTTTTATATGTTGATATATTGACGCGGTATCGATCTATTTTACTAACAAAATCTCACAAGAATTTGCAAAATATCACGAGAGTTTGTAACATAACGATGAAATTTCACGAGATTTTGAAAGTAAAACAGATTGATACCGCGTTTTTAAAAATCAATTTGATATCAGCATATGAAAATATATTTGAGTTTATTATTTGTCAAAGTGTCAGAAATGGATAACAAAACTGCTATTTTCAATGACTACTTATTTTTGTCCAGCTTTAACGTCAGTATCGATATCGGTTATCGGCTACATGAGTTTTAAAATATCGGCATATCGGATATCGGGCAAAATCCCAATATCGTGCATCCCCATACAGTATATCAAGATAAATAAGGATTAAGGTGCAAGTGTACATGTATCACACACAATGAAAAGCAAATTAAAAATAGGAAAAAAAAAAAAAAATACAAGGGAGTAACACAGAGATTTGAGGTGTCATATGATGAAGATAAAAACATTAGCTGCTTATCAAACCGATTAATTGTGACTTCTGCACACTAACCAGGTCATTTACCCAATAATCAATCCTACAGTAACTCCAGGAATTAGATGGATTCATGTCACCAGAATTGACACCCAGTTGGAGGACGCCGGGCTTCAGCCATGAGCTTTGACAAAGAGCCTGTTTCTTTCATAATCAGAGCCAGGGTGTCTCAGTTTTTTTTGGGTTTCTTTGTCGATGTTCAAGGGCGCAGGTGTATCCGGGGGGGTTACAGGACCACACACCCGGCTAACCGCCCGCCTGGTCAGGGTGACCTAGGAAAGAGGGAGCCGTTTTTCCCTGCCTCTCACTATCATTAGCTCCGCCGCACTCCCATGCCGATGGCGGTGACGGCCTTGGGCAAACACCGCCATGTGAATTCACTTAGAGGAGTTTTAGTGCCCTGTGGGTTAGCGTGCCAGTGGGACCCCGAGGGGAAAGACGAAGCGGGTCGGAAACTTTAACTCACGTGTGGTCACTCCGGCTTTGAAGTACCACCGTTCAGTTAGCAGCAGGTCTGGAGCTAAAGGAGACGTAATGGCCAGTAAATTATAGTTCTGCATTTCTGTTAGGGTGGTGGGATGAGCTAATACGAATTAAAATGTATATATAGATATAAAACCTCCAATCTGTATGAGGAAAAAAAAAAAACACAAAATAAGGGCGTTAAAACCAAAAAACATGTTTCTTAGTGTAACTTCTGCAGTAGCTCCAAACATCTCCTTCTAGGAAATGTGTCCTTTTTGCTGTTGCTGAACTGTGAAACCTGGCTGCACATCGTTCATTTGGTGTTGACACCGTCAACAGCTGCATGGGGGACAGAGGCCATGTTGGCTCACTCTGGTCTTTGTTAGATTGCGCAGCTGTGTTTTTGCAATACTTCCCATGCAAACCCGTCGTGTTCAGTCCAGCGTTCTCCTGCGTTAAACAGTTTAAGTCTTCCCTAAGGAGCACTTCTGACTCACTTGTGATTTTCCCCCAACTTCATGACTTTTTGCTAAACTTGTTCTGAGGGACTTTTGTGTTGCGTGCTCAGGTATGTAAGTAGACAGCCTGTTTGCCTGAGGCCATGCTGGGAAGCAGGATGTGAATGACTTCAGTGAATTACTCTGTTAAGTAAAAAGGAAGTAGGTGGGGGCACATGCTCGGGCCTGTGTCGGAGGGAGGAGCCAGGGCCTCTAAGACTGTGGGGCTCAGTCGGTCCTCTAGCACTTTATGCTTCCTGCCTGACGCCACATCAGAATAGAGACTTAGAGGGTGGAAGCAGCCACAATCTCAACTGGATTCAAAACTCTGTCGCTCTTGGACTATTTCTTTCGTGTCAGCTTTTGGATTTCTTAAGTTACAATGGGACTATGTTGTTCTGAAAAGCAGAAGAAAAACTTTGAGATGTTCACAAGTTGGACAAAGGTGAGTTTTGTTTTTTTATTTTTGTTTTTTTTTTCGCTGCCGCTTGAGTATTACAAACAATGAAAAGAAAAAACTTTGAGAAACTTCATTCAAAAACTGAGGATTTGGGTCAAAGTTTTGTAGACATGATGCTGTGGAATAACTAACGCAAATATGTAAAGAGGAAATATTTCAGATTATTTTATTTTGTTGTTCTTTTTGTTTTGTTTTTTGCATTTTTGCACTTATGCGGGAACTCCCTGCTAACGTAAAAGGATGCATTTGTGCAATTTATTAGGCAAGACATATCGTCATGCAATCCGTGTCCCCTGCTGTGTTGCTCAAACTGAACTACATGACAATGATTTACCGGCATTTGGCCCGGCGTTTATTCCCCCTGCATTTGCCTCAAAGTTGCCCCTTTCCTCCACTTTGAAAAAGTGAAAAGTTGATGACAGTTTTCTACTTTATACCCAATTTTTTCACCACTTTCAGAAAGATGCCTACTTGTTTGTTTTGATGGAAATGAGCAGGTCCCTGATGATCAAATGGGAAGAAGAAAAAAAATCTTGACAGCCCTGATCAAGTTTTTTCTATCAGGAAGATATCACCTTTCAGACAGCTTGGAAAACCAGATCTACTGATTTTGTATGAAAAAACCCAGGCGCAAGATTTTTTTCCCCCTCTTAAATCAGGCCAAGGTAGCTTTAATTATTCAGGAAGTCGTTGTGAATGCAGTTATAGGAGATGCACCGATCAGATCAGTTTTTCCTGGCAGATTCCTGCCTTTCTTTGCAGGCTGACCTTCAGTCACAATCTTCAGCGATTACATTTTTTCCCCCCCAAGAACTTCAAAATATAATAATGTGCAGAAATATTTGATACATCTTGTCGTTTAAAAAAGAAGGAGATACAAATTGAACACATATTTTTGCTTAGACGCATCTCCCTAAACTTTGTTTCTTATTATTAAACTTATTAAAGGTTTAATGTTTCCCCATGTTTCATGGAAAAAAAATAGTAATAATACATTCACTATTGTAGGGAAAACCCACCAGGACCAATATCTTTAGTTTTTTTTCTTAGGGGCTTTTAATGTGGTCCTATTTCCCTTTAAAAACCAGAACTGAAATCGTCCTCATAGAATCTCTTAAATGTCCCATATCTCTCCTGCTCCTCTGCTGCAGATTTTGTGCGTTCAGATATGATGTGCTGTATATTTAGAGAGGGGACCACTGTGGGAATGATGGAGGGGGGGACCATGTGACTCTGTTGCTATGGCATTCAGGCATCCATGGGGTCTGTGGTACTGAGTGGGCTGAAATCTTATAACTCTTATCCGGATCTATCGTCTCACAGTGCTGGTAGAAAACCAATGAAATCTACTTGAATGATTTGATTCATTAGAAGTAATTAATCTAATTTCCTCCGTGCTGCTCGGTGCGCCTGGCTCGGTGCAGCATGCATTGCAGCTGTTCTGCATTACAGAGCAGAGGAATCATGTGGAGGGCGAGCGGAAAGAGAGAGAGGAGGAGATGCAGGGGATGAAGGGGGGGATTCTCCAGACTCTCATTTTCTGCACTTCTCTTCATTGCCTCGTCTTAAGTGAGGGTGGGAGGCAAAGATGGCGAGATACTCCACACTCTGACTCAAGGGACTCTGCAGATCGACCGTCCCACCCTCATCCTCCACCTCGCCTCATTCCATCCTGTGCTTGGAAAAATAGGCTACTTGACATCGGATAATATTTGCATCGATTCGGAGGAAGGCTGACGGATGACGGCAGCTGGAAGAGGAGAAAGAAGAGGAATATTGATCACATCTTTTGGGGGAGGAGGGGGAGATTCCATCACACTCTCTCCCTTCTCTGTGCCATCCTTGGAAACAATGGAAGAGGCTGGGAGGAGGTGCATCTGGTTTGACAGGGGGATGTAGAGGCTCCCACCACAGCCCTCCTCCAGAGTCGGCAGGCGAGGCGTTTTATTTCGGCGTGCTGCGTCTCAGCATCGCGGCTGCGGGGCTTCACTCAGCCTTGGAGATCCACTCAGAGAGGAGCATTCACTGCTTCTGCTGGGGAGCACCAGGGGCTCAGAACAGCTCAGCACCATGCCTGAGGCCAACTACCTGTTCTCTGTGTCCTGGGGATACATTAAGGTATCAGAACCTGTATGTGTGCGTTTGCGGAGCTACAGAGATGAATATTCGTTGTCGATTTTGCCGCATTTGAGATGCAGGTTTTGTCTGAATATGTTTGGTCATGACGCTGCTGCTGGTTTGCATCTGTTTAGACGACTGCGGCAGGAACAAAGATGCATAAATATGAGTTGATTGCATGTTTCTCCATGCAGAGAGCTTGGAGATCCTTTTTTTTTATATATACCAAAAAGACTTAACCTCATGTGGTGCACAAAAGTAGAAGAATAACAAGATGCTTTAGTCTGTTCAAATCCAGCAGTTAAATAACTTCATATTCTGTTTTGTTTATGTTTCTTCCAGTTCAAGAGGATGCTAAACAGGGAACTAAGCCACCTGTCAGAGATGAGCCGCTCAGGCAACCAAGTGTCAGAGTACATCTCCAACACCTTCCTAGGTAAGCAGTGCAGCCCACGCTCTCTGCAGCATTGCAAAACAACTGCAGCATCAGAGCTTTTTGAGTTATAAGGGTACATAAAGCTTGGCGTTAGCTCCTGAAACATTCACCTTTGGTGTGGATTGCTGCTTTTAAACTAGTCTGATCTGGTCGGGAAGAGGAACGAGCCCCCCCAGCGCTCCTCGCTCTGACTGCAGAGACATGCAAAGGGAGGAGGGAGGGTGTTCTGCTCAGGGAAGGCTTCCCTCTAGAGAGATCAGGAGCAGCGAGACGAGGGGGAGTTAGGACAGATGCTATCAGCTGCATCCAGACGCTGCATTATTCAAATGGAGGACTCCAGTATTTCCTGGTCTTAAAAAGCATTGCTGCATTTCATGACTCACAGCCTCCTATAGGTCACTGTTGGTTGTAAACAAGTTCATAAACTGAAAATAATCTGAGGGGAAAAGCAAAATTAACTGGAGGAGAAACTGGGATTCTATGTAAAACAAATGTCAGTTTTACAGTCTGGAGAGAGATTAACATATTTTAGACGACCAGCTGTCGACCGTCAGCTGAGTTTTTGGTGCATTTTAAGGTTTACAGTCAGAGGAAACAATAGAGCTGTTTTTCTGGGAAGCTTAGCGGGTCTCTCTATCTGCATTGCATCAAACACCCGTCAGGTAGAGCTAAGATTGTCCTCCTGGGTTTTGCAGAGGATATAATAAGACTTTTATTTTTGTTTTGTTTTTTTTCGCCGAGGTGCGTATGATGATCAAAAAAGCAGTTTCACATGCGCACACACACACACACGCAAACAGCACGAAGCTGTCACCCAGCAGACAGAAACACTGAATCACACACGCTGACTTTCGCTCCCGCATATTTACATGTCTCATTTCTGAACATTTCAGCTCAGGATCAGCCCTTTTTCCACTTTTCTCTGAATTGTTTGTTGCATCCGGGTTCAGTTTCGCAGAACGCACGCACCGCTGGAATATTGTGGCACAACAGCTCATTAGAAAGTGACAGGGATTTTTATTTAATCGAGACACAGTTGGAGGGAAGTGTCTTTAGGGGGTGCTTGATTGTTTTCCTGCTTTTATTTATTTTTTACTGCAGTCAGTGGGTTTATTTTTAGTAGAGAGAGAACATGAGGGATTGTTTTAATTAAGCAACTGTCTCTACTGCTTCAGCCTTGCCACTTGGGTGTTAGAGGTCACCTAGCAGCTACTGTAGGAGGCTTGTGCAAAAAGCCTCTCAGCTAAACTGCTAAGCCCCTTTTTTTAATAATTGTGTTCTGTTTAATAATCTTTTCTGATTCTTATTGTGTTTCCTACAGATAGGCAGAATGAGTTGGAGCTTCCCTGTCCGGTTCAGAAGGTGAGGGAGAGGAAGAGGAAGCAGGGCCAGCAGCAGCACCAGCAGGTTGGGATGATGACACAGATCAGTGGGGTGAAGAAGGTCAACCATACGTCCAGCATATCGGGGAATAGCGGAAACCGCTTCGGGGTGAAGACGGACCAGGAGGAGCTTCTCTCAAAAGTTAGTGATGCACACTTGGTCTCTTCAAAATAGCATGAAATTCATTTAAAAAAAGATGATGCTTAACGTTTGAAATTCTGGCTTATTTATTAATAGGACCTGGAGGACATCAACAGATGGGGGCTGAATATCTTCAAAGTGGCTGAGCATTCTCACAACCGACCGCTCACCTGCGTCATGTACAGAATCTTTCAGGTACTTTCTAAACTTTTTTTATTTATTTATTTTTATTTTTTGAATATCAATGCCTGTAAAGTTTATTTTCCTAACGATGCGTATCTTTGCCACTCCCAAGGAGCGAGACCTGATGCGTACGTTCAAGATTCCAACCGACACCTTCGTGACCTTCATGCTGACCCTGGAGGACCACTACCACTCGGACGTGGCCTACCACAACAGCCTGCACGCCGCCGACGTAGCGCAGTCCACGCACATCCTCCTGTCCACGCCCGCTCTGGATGTAAGTGGCTGAAATCTAAAGCCTTCCACGGAATTGCAGTATATTCATTCATTCGAGTCATGTGGTTTAGCTAATGACTCCATCACCAACGCCCCTTTCTAAAGCTGTTTCGGTTTAATGTGGCGACTTGTGTGACGTCAGCGCCCGGCGAATGCCTCAGAGGCTGACAAATGAAAGGATCGTGCTCCAATTGTCTGTTGGTTTAACTTGTTTGGCCGGTTCATTGACAGCCAAGGCTCATTTTCCTCCTTTTTTTCTCTCTCTCTCTCGCATTCAGGCTGTCTTTAAAGACCTGGAGATCTTGGCAGTCATCTTCGCTGCAGCTATTCATGATGTGGACCACCCAGGAGTGACCAACCAGTTTCTCATCAACACCAGTAAGTCTTAAAACCCTTAAAAGTTATGATTTAGCTCACATGTCCAAAGACAACATGTAAAGTCAGAGCTTTATTTAATTTCTTCCTCCCTCCCACCCCTCTCCTCTCTACTCAGACTCTGAGCTGGCTCTGATGTACAACGATGAGTCAGTGCTGGAGAATCACCACCTGGCTGTGGGCTTCAAACTTCTGCAGGAAGACAACTGCGACATCTTCCAAAACCTAACCAAGAAGCAGAGGCAGACGCTACGAAGGATGGTCATAGACATTGTGAGGACACATAACAATTAGAAAGTTAACAGCCAGACCAGCATGTTTTATTTAACCAGTCAGATTCTGCTCACCACTTCTAAATGCAGCAAAGAGTTCTTACATTTTCCTTCCACGTTTTTTAGGTTCTGGCCACCGATATGTCCAAACACATGAATCTCTTGGCGAATTTGAAAACCATGGTGGAAACCAAGAAGGTGACCAGCTCTGGTGTCCTGCTGCTGGATAATTACACTGATAGGATGCAGGTAAGGAGCTCATTCATACTCATTCGTCTTTTAAAATAAAACACCACCAGAAAAAGGCTAAGATCCGTCCTGTCTGCAGGTGCTGTGCAACATGGTTCACTGTGCTGACCTGAGCAACCCCACCAAGCCTTTGGATCTGTACCGGCAGTGGACTGACAGGATCATGGAGGAGTTCTTCCACCAGGGAGACAGGGAGCGGGAGAAGGGGATGGAGATCAGCCCCATGTGTGACAAGCACACGGCTTCAGTGGAGAGAACTCAGGTAGAGATGGCCCAGATAAAAAGGTTTGATGAGAATATTTATGTTCTTTTACTGACGGCAGCCCTGCTCATCTGTTCCAGGTTGGCTTCATAGACTTTATCGTCCACCCTCTGTGGGAGACGTGGGCCGATCTGGTCCATCCTGACGCCCAGGACATCCTGGACACGCTGGAGGACAACAGGAACTGGTACCAAAGCATGATCCCCCAGAGCCCCTCTCCTCCTTTCTACACCAGCGACGGAGAAGGAGGCCAACATGGGGATGGTGAAGGGGGTTCTGAAGCGAGTAAATTCCCCTTCGATTTGGCCATGGACAGCCAGGAGAGACACACAGAGGACACGCCTGCTACAAGCGACCGCCTGAACAGAGACAATCCGGTTGAACTTAAAGGAGTAGAAATGACAACGCGTGACATCTCTCCCGCAGAAACATAGCCGAACCGAGAGACGGTCCCAGAAAAGGGACGCTTTTTACGCTGAGTTTGTTTAATTGCAGTGGAGGCATCCTGCAATGAGGCTTTTTAGGGAGCTGTCTGGCAAAGAAAGCCTGTGTGAACGCTGGGCGCCCCTGCAAACGAGGCTCAGAAACCCTGCTGCAGCATGTTTATGCGCCCCAGCAGAAGGAGCTGAGAGTGTTTGTTTAAAGCAGAGAGTGCCGAGGCACGGCTGGATCGGGGTTTTTAACGGACCGACCGTGCGGATCCAATGGTATGAATCTACGAACTGGGTTTAAAGGAAAAAACTTCCAAACTTGCACTTCAGGACATTTTTTTTTATCTTCATGTAGAATATTTACAAAGTTTCGGGACCTAATAACACAACCAAACCTACTGGTCTATCGTCGTTTTTTTTCTTAACACTTGTTTAAAAAAAAAAAAAAGTTAAAAAAAAGTGCCTTTTTTTGTTTTATTCTACAATTGTCTCTTTTTGTAAAAGTTTTTTTTTTATTATTTATTGAACACATTTGTGTAGCTGTAAAACATGTCCACTTTTCTATGAGAGGACATCATTGTCTCTTAGTCTTCCTAATGTTCTGGCAATAGTCTAAACTTTTTCTCACAGGTGGATGAATGTGGAAAATCTGTTGACTTCCTGGCACAATTTTGCACTTTGCGTACAAGTGAAGCCAAATAATGTCATTCAAGCAACCCAAATATATATATTTTACCTCTAATTCATCATGTCAGCCAGGTTCTAACCTTTAGATAGAGATAGAGGGAAAAGGGAGAATACATCCAAAGATCCTCCAACAAACAAAAGAGCACTTTGATGCGTTCACTGCCACATTTTATTAAAGGAAAACATAAAGTTCAACCTCAGATCACTCTTTGAATTCAACAACTCCAACCTATTGCTCTAAGGTATACTCCATTCCCCTCAATCCACTTTCCATTGTGAGTCATTGAAAACTTTTAGATGACTGAGAGGCTGTGCAAAGCTGAAAGGAACAAAACATTTGTAAAATTTGTATTGTTTTTTTTTTTGTCGTTTTTTTTTCACCGCAGCACCTTGAAAATACCAGCAACTCTGCAGCTGGTTGCAGAGCTGCTAGAAACTTCCTAAAAGGTACCACGACATATGATGAGGGGAGATCAGTTTGTAGTCATAACATGACATTCTTCTGTGAATTTGTGCACATGTGGAGCGTGTAACTTCAATGGTCACAGAACCGCACAAACATTGTCGCACGGAGCTGTGTAGTGCCGACAGTAACGGCGTATTTATTACCTTTCCCTTGTATATAATTAATAACGGTTGCTAATATTTACATATATTTATAAGCACTACAATACGTCAGATGACAATTTGACTGAATATGTCTGTATTTAGTGAGATATTTTGCTATTAGACCTCCTCTTGAAGTCCTGAAAAGTGCGTTTGCTTTGAGGCTCCAGCCTGAAACGGTCGTTGGTTCCTGACAGCAGCTTTTTCGGGGTCTTCGTTTCTGGGTATGGATATGAAGGCTGGACGTTTACAGCGGCTTATTGTGTACGGTGACGGGTCATTGTACAGCTGGAGGAATCTTTGCTGAAATGTTTAGCATTGTTTTAAAATGTATTTTTTCAGTGTTTTCCTCACAGTATATTGGTTAAAAAAAACAACAACAATGGTGTATGTTGTGCTGAACAAATGTTTTCTATGTGATTATTAAAATGAGCATGTGAAACAGAATCCACTGGTGGATGTGATTTTCTCTTTGATAAATTTGAAACAGGAAGTTAAATACCCAAACACACGTTTGGGTAAAAAGTTCTCCAGGATTAAAATGTTTTCTTCTACGGATAATTTGATCTCTGATGAATATCAACTGAAAAGTATCCAAAAGATTGTGTAATTTTAACTAGAAACTGATTTTACATTTGGAGGCAAGTTGGTTTTTTCCATGACCTAAAACGTTACATTTGTTAGATCTGTTTACCTAGATTGTACAGACATCTAAACTAGATCAGTGTTTGATGTTCTGTGGGAGCATTTTTGCTCAGAACAACTGGTTCTCTGCAAATGAAGAATTGGGAATATGCCAAATTAATCAGACAGAGCTGGATAAAGGGTTCATTTGGTGGTTTATAAACCTCAATAATTGGATTAACTTTTATTTTAATAGTCTACCAGATTTTTTTATTAATATATTCACTATGTCACAGACTTTTGGGACTTTTTAGGTGCTCTAAGAGAAGGAAATAGTTGTTTTAGGTATTTAAAAACTGGGAACGCCACAGATGGAATATTGGTGATGACATGTTTCGGTGCACCACTGTGGAAGAATTTGGTGGCTTTTTTTTTCAGGCTGTGAAGATTCATAAAATATTTTCTGAAACACCTTTTGTTTCCCAAATCTCTTTAAACCAACTCGTAAACAGTCAGGCATCTACGATCTACCAACGACGTCACCAAGTCCAGGTCAGCCGCTACGCTGACGACGTGTGGATTCATCAAACTCTCTCTGATCCGGTCTCTCTGGCAGATACTCTTAAGATTTTTCTTTTTTTAGTTCACCCGATTTATTCATAAATCATTTATAAATTTTATATGTAAATTTTTGCAGTTCGTTTTTTTTTTATCTGCGCATTTTCCACTTAGGAGTTCTCTAGCCAATTATTTTTTATTTTATTTTATTTGATATTATAAAGTTTTTTTGTTTTTAACTACTTTAACATTTGATTAGTTGTTTATAAAATGCGTGTAACTATTATTTAACATTTAAAGCTCAAAAGGATCATTCTTTTCCACCTGCTTTTAATGGTCACACACTTTACAAACCATTTATTTCTTCCTCAAAATTCAAAAAGAAAATGGCTTGTAGAGAGTCAAATTTGTGGGCACTAAGGTTTTCTGTGTGTATTTAAATAATTTATAATTATTTTACATTAATTGTAATTCTTAACTATAATGATTTTTATGTAATTGGTATTGTAATTTTTAGGAATGCACGATATAATCGGCCCCCTATCGGTATCGGCCTGTATCAGCCTTAAAACTGAATATCGGACAACGGCCACCCCACCGATATTTAACCCGATATTTGATCAGCTTCTGAGTTTCTAAAGTCTAAAAAAAATAAAAAATACTACTTCTTCTTTTTCCTCAAAAACTTCTTTTTTACAGACTTAAAACTTCTAAAGACGAGGGAAAAAATATTGATTTATTAAAATATCACAATATCTTCATATGCTGAAATATTGCCATTTAAAAACACCATATCAATCTCTTTTACTAATGAAATAGTTATATATATATAGTTATATATGCTAAGAAATCTCCCGAAAATTCACAAAATTTTGCCATATTTTTATATGTTGATATAATGACGCGGTATCGATCTATTTTACTAACAAAATCTCACAAGAATTTGCAAAATATCACGAGAGTTTGTAACAGAACGATGAAATTTCACGAGATTTTTGAAAGTGTAAACGCGGTATAGATCGATACCGCGTTTTTAAAAATCAATTTGATATCAGCATATGAAAATATATTTGAGTATATTATTTTTCAAAGTGTCAGAAATGGATAACAAAACTGCTATTTTCAATGACTACTTATTTTTGTCCAGCTTTAACATCGGTATCGATATCGGTTATCGGCTACATGAGTTTGAAAATATCGGCATATCGGATATCGGCCAAAATCCCAATATCGTGCATCCCTAGTAATTTTATCTTGTGATTTTATACTTGTGTTTATTTTTAAGGTTGCCTTTTTTATACCTGGCTGGGGGACTACCGATGAAAATTAGCACTCCTTAGCTAACTTGGGTATATTTACATTGTTTTAATGTTGATTAATGTACACTGTCCTCTTTCAAATAAACAATAAATAAAAATTAAAAAATTAAAAAACATTGTCTCCCAGCCAACTATTAGCAGCTGTTGCAAACTTACAATCGTTGCGTTTTTACATCATGGTAGTTTTGCAGCTATAATAGTGAAGAAATAGGAGCATTGGACAACGGGGGAAGAGAAGAAAAAACAACTTTATCCAATCTTGAGTCACTTTCTCACTTTAACACCTCTTTATTTGCTTTTGTCTGGCTCAGGCTTAGTGCCTGTGGCCACTGGTCCAGCAGTGTAAACAGGAAGGGTAGAGATAGTGGTAATGTGAGCATTCACCCTCCCTTTGCTGTAAGCACCTTGGTCCGCACAGATAAGCATCAGAAATACGTGATGAAGTGAACAGAGTGCTGAGTAAGATTAACATGAGGGAATGTCTTTCACAGATTACACCAGATAATTTCAACAAAGCAGAAGAAGGAGGTTTTATGAAAAAGAATGATGGTCTGTCAGAGTGACTGCCACATGAAAAGCTTTACAAAAGTATTCACACCTTTCTCCCATTTTTGTTAAACAGCAGAAATGGTGCCAATCCTCATGAAGGACCTTTCACTGCAACTAGAACTTCTGGTGTTTTGGGCTCTGTCTCAAAAAGTTTTCACACCCAAAGACTGAGATTTTTGCCCAGTTTCTTTGCGAAACAACTAGAGTTCAATTGGTTGGATGGAACGATTAGGTGAAGCATAGTTTCCAGATGTTGCCACTGTTAATAATGGATTGAAATTTATTCGAACATGAACAAGAAGTGCATAAAAAAAGAAGAGAAAAAAAAATACAGATATTTGTTTCAATTAACATATCATGCTCAAAATGGGGTAGGAAGAAGTGAAAACTTATTAACTCCTACCCCCTAATAATAAAGAAATACTGTTTAGTCTAAACCTTTGCAGAGTAGATCAATTGTAAAGTCTTCTGCGGCCTTTACTAGGTTTTTCCAGCTCGGTCCATCCTCCCGTTAACCTTTGCCAGCTCCTGTATCTCCTCTATCATCCTCACAGCACGATGCTATCATCCCCGCCGGGTGTCCGATGCTGTTTTCAACATGATTTGAAGTTTTAAGTTCTTGTGAAAACCATTTTGCATGTGAGCAAAAAAGTACAACTTTAGTCTCCTCTTGTCAGAGGACCTTGTATAAAAATCCCTTGTTCACTCCATGGCTTGTTTCAAATGTGACTATCCTGAATTCTACATAAGTTGATGCGCTTCAATCAATTTTGACAGTTTGAGGCCTGCATACCTGTCTTGCTAAGAGATTCTTTCTTCTCTGAGCTGCTTCTATCTTTGCACAGACCTCAGTGTTTTGATGATTTTAAGTTCTGATGATAAAATTTGCAGCATTTTTTCTTTAAACATCTCCTTAACTTTATATCTGACCTTTCTGCTGTGTTTTGTGGTCTGAGAAATGCTTTTTATTCACACAAGAAGAGCATGAAGTGAATCATTTCTATGTGATCCCTACAGTATGCAATGAGAAGGAAGCCTTTCAAGAGATGTAAATGCACTGAATTTGGAGAAAAGATAATTTGCTTAATAACCCTCTGAGCCCTTCGCAGGACAGGTGCATCTGCACCGCCATTTAAATAATACACCTATTCAGTTAATGACATCTGAGTTGCTCTGGAGATAATGGGTCTGAACCACACATTTTTTAAAGTTTTATTTGCACTTTTTAAGAACTACTTTAGTAATCAATATGTAACCAAGGAGAAAATGTACTTAAAGATGCTTATTTAGGGAGGCTGCACATGTTTTTGGTTTGATTTTTCTTAGATTCTTCAGGTTTATGTTTGTTTAGATTGATAAATGATTTTTTTTTTTACATAAGGGTAGCTAACACACAATTAATTTTGATTCCATAACTCAATAAAAAATCCTTTGCTGACAATAACAGGTAAAGTTTGGCGTTTATTGGGTGGAAATGTGTGATATTATGAATGAGTTATTTTCTGTTTTGAGAAGACTTAGAAGGTCTAACTACGTAAGAACTGAAGGATGTCCTGGATTTCTTCAGAATGGAGGACATTTACCTTTTCATCTGAAATTCTGAGGAATCTCTTTGCACTCCACTGCTCTCCAGTATAAACAAGGAACTCATTGGTTTCCATTCACTGCTGGTGGGCCAGTGTCGAGAAAGCCTGGATTCTGTGCAGAACGTGTTTCAGCTGCATGGAGGCGTTTCGATCCCAGGTGGGTGTGAGTTTACTTTGTTGGTTTTAGATGGTCTGCATGACAACAGGAAACCCGAACCATCCTCGTCTTCCTTCAAAGTAGAGGCAGCTGTTTATCCTAAAAACAGTGCAGACATACTCCCCTGTTTTCCATGGGGGTGGTCCAGACTGCCATAGCAATGAGCAGTAAGTTTGTTTGAAAGTCTAACACAAGCCTTGTGGTGGTGCTAGTCACTGACGTCAGTTGGGTGAAGGTGGCATGCAGCGGCCATGAAAGCATCCGCAGCGTCTGGGTCCAGGCCGGGGCCGGACGTTCTCCCTGCCAGAGCTTCCAGCTCTACATACTAGCCAGGCCCTGAAAGGGACCCAGAGCCAGGGGCCGGAGCAGAGAGGAAAAGAACCACTTCCACCAAAACAAACCTGCACTCTCCATCTCCACTTTATAAAAACAAATGTCTTCCTGGAGTTTCTCCTAACCAGCTGCTGTTTGTTTTTAGTCGGGTTGACAGTAAGAAGTGAAGTCAGCTTGGCCGCCACAGAGGTGAATAGAGCTTAGAACGGGGCATTCCTGGATAATTAAATAACGGTGCAGATGCCTGTGCGTGGATGGCACAGATCAACGCAGAGTGGCTGAGACAGATAGGTTAGGATATGATCACCGTAAGACAGATCT